AGCTCCTGCTCTCAGTATCTATCTACAGCTAGGATTGTGATCGATTTATCGATCTCTACCAATCAAACATTTCATTATCTGTTTGGCTACTAATTTTTTTCTTGCTATTAATCATTATACTGCATTTTTCAATAATCTGATTTAATGATAATTTTCTTTAACTTTGCCTTGAATGTCGGTTTTTGAAATTTCTGGCTTCGGCGATGTTCACTGATTTCGAAAGTTCGCAAAAAAGCTTATCGATCAGTTTCAAACGGAAATCTAACTTTATAAGAATTTAAACCCAGATTAACTACGAACTTCCCGGGCACAAAATCCTCAGATATCAAATGGATATCAAACATATTCCATACTTTTCGAAAACCGCATTTTTACTTCTAACTGTTGGCGTTAAACGGCAGAGTATGCCCAGTAAAATGCAGATACGTTTCTAGTTGGTCGGCCTTTTTATTCCTGCCGCTTGTGCCTGGTCGGCTGCAGCTGCGATTGAAAGAGGAGGCAATGAGCGTTTTTGTGAAAGATACATATTTTCATGGTAGATAATTGGCAAGTAGATCCCAGGACAACAATTGGCGTGCATGCTGTAACCGGTTTCTTGTTACTGCATTGTGTGCTGGTCGGACAATTAGCGTACAATGCTTCAATTTCCGCTGCCTCGAAGGCCGAGTGGCGTAGCTTTTGCAAGCAAGTTCATGGTGATGTCATTTACCTCGCCAGTGATCAGATTGAGGCAGGACATAAAGCAGGTGAACGAGTTTGGAGTTGAAGCTAACTCGTCACAACATCATAAGGAGAGGGACCGATGTTTCCATACTGGCTAAGAATGAAATATATTTATGGTAAACTATTAACAATATAAATATAATATTGAATGATAGATGCAGCCCTCTTCTGAAATGGATTAATAAACGATAGCTAAGCTTAGAGAATGATTGTCCACAGAATTCACGCCTCTATACTTTCTAATTGCTCCAACGACATTATCCTAGACAATTTCTTGATATTGCCCACTTATGGTTTTAGATTTTCTTTAAATTTAGCTTCTGAATTTTTATACACTATTGAGATCAAAAACAAAAATATATTCACCGCCATTTTTGCCCGATAAATATGAGAACTTTGGCTTGGAACCCCTTTGTTTGGGTTTGCAGCCTTGTTTCGTTTAGGCAAATTTGTTTCGAATGCGCGGATGAGTCATTAAAGCCATGGTTATCACTGCTTAGATAGCTGAAGGCAAGTGTTCATGCAACGGTTGAAGAAAATCTTAAGTTTAGGAATCAGTTCTCGTTACCTTTCCTCTTGGTGCTGCTCTAGTAATAAATAAACGGTGATGGAAGTAGCTGAATTTTTGAAACTATCGTTTATTTGTCACTAATGTTCAGACAGACTCTATATTCTATACTCTTAAGATATGCATTGGAATAAAGGTCTGGAGTGTTAAGTGAATTATAATTTCAATTTTTAGTCCTTCTCGAAAGTATCTAAGTAATGGTTATGTAAACCCCTAAAGGATCTTCAGTTGAGCATGAAACGACATTGCTAGAACAATACCGCTATTATTCCATGTCATACAGTAACGTGGCAATTTGAGAAAGAAATAGGTTTTGCGGTTCTGATAACGTGTTTTATCAAATGAAATGTTTTCCACTTAGAAATGCTTTAGTTGTAGATCAATAACCTTATATTATACCTGTTTTACAACCTGTCTGATGGAATATGATAAATGCTAAGGAAAAATCACGATTTTTTATTCATAAGAAGCTGATGCACTTCTATGATTTTTCTCGATTTAATTAATTAGTTTAATAGTGTACAGAACCAGTTTATTAAACAACACCGACACATAATATTTAACCGGATCAGCGATAATCCTCAGCATATAATGGGGATAATTTAAAGACAAGTCAAAACCTTGTATGTCATAATGCTGTTCTACTGTGGAAATCTTCTGTTAACCTTTATTATTCATTCAGAAAAATACGTCCAAGTGTCAATAATTGTCTGTTAACGACGAGCAGAATCGTGCGAAGGTTTTAACCTAGAAAGTAATTTATTCAGTTAGTCAGTGGTCGCCGCCGCAATTAAGTTTGGATTCCAGGAATGGTGTTTCCTCGATTGGTGGTGACAGAAGTCATTGAGAACACACCTTGAAGCTGGTGCCCTAAACTGAGGTAGCACATATTCAAGACTATAATTTCTTCAGTCACCCCGCACACCCTGAAGACTATAAGTGCATAACACTCAGCGAATAAGTATGGAGGTTGTATGAAAGGGAAGAGGACAGTAATGATGCGCATCTCCCTAGCAATCACTGCGATCAGGAAATCGAAACCGAGCAATCGATTCACCCAAATTTATGAATAACAGAAATTAAAATTACGTAACGCGCTTTTAGAACTTCGCCATGAAGAATCCGAATTGCTGTATCTATTTGCTGCAACAACAGGGCGTTGAATGTCGTTGTATATAAATGTTTAATGAGATTATTATAAACATGGCGCACTTTTGAAAATCAGCGTTGTAACTCACTTCTCAATGTTTAAGGCAGAGTGAGGTCAATGGTTGGTTCTCAATTTATTTAAGCGCCGCTGAATTCCATTTCAGTAGGAAAAAGGGATTCGTCATATTCGTCCACCGGGCACAGATGCAAAATGCTAGAAATCATTCGGAAAAACTGGAACGGAAATTGCAGTGCACTAGGGAACAAGTAAAGTGTGGAAGTACAACTAACTACTGGCAGCTTTTGGGTAGTTCTTGAGAGTCCGCTAGGGTCATGCCTCAATGGCAATCGAAAATCTCCCTTGATTGAGTTACAGTATGAGGGGAAACACTGGCGTCTTTTCATTGACGTATACCATGCTTCAATAGAAAAATTTTGTATCATCCGCGTAGAAGATAGTCACTGATAAAGTAGCCTAGTATCATCGCTAAGTTCAGAATAAGGGAAGGGAGGAAGCGATGATGATGGAGGGCTATCAGCAAGGTGAATACAATGCGCAAGACAGTCATGGACACGGCATTGACAATTCAGTCTCAGCAGAGTCAGTACAAACCAAGTGCTTCATCACCTATGGCTACGATCGGTTTACAATAAGCAACGAATTCGTCTGAAAGCGCTCTCACCACCTAAGTGTGTTTTACCTACGTTTGTTCCTCTATGCCACAAACCCCGTATATGATGGCTTTAAAGTAAGATTGACTAACAGAAGAAAGTTGAGTTAAAGTTTCAAACTGAGGTTGTCTAGTAAATTAATCGTCAGAGGTTGTAGGAAGTCATTTAATAATGCTGTCGGTACTGCGAATAGAGAATTGTGGTCGCTGGCACTTCTTCGTCTCATTATCAATAATTATCATGTCCTAATTAAAACGTGATACGCAGAAAAGACTTATCTATAATGATCTGAGACAGCAGGGTAAAGTTGGCAGTTGATAAAAAAAGCAACTAACATCGTACATGAGATGATTGAAATTTTTACTCAGGCCAAACAGAACAGCAATCTCTTGTTGTTTCCTTAGGCGGGAAAGCCATTCATTCAGTTATGATATATCTAAAGCGCCCACATATAAACCTAATGCTGTTGACTTCCGTTTATCAACTTTAACTCTCACCTTTACCGATTCAAATTGATTCGATTCTTGATGGGGTATCTTTCTGCTGCAAACTGGACAGAGGTGAAATGTAGGTTGCTTGCAAACGCTTTTGTGAGATCGACTCGGCGAGGTACGGCCTTCGTCGCTGCTCGCGATGATTATAATGGACTAGTTTCATGCAACAAACCAACGTAGTGCATTACTGGACCCGTCTCTGCCGGTCGTACCCTGCCATGTTCTACTTGTTCTGGTTGTGCATCATTCTGAAACACGGTAAGTCAGCCGGCTAAATTTAAGGTGTCTGTTCTGAAATCATTCCCCATGTAGGTGGAGCAGCTGACCCAAAAGCAATCTGCGACATTAGGCCGTTCGGCTGTGATCTCTACTGCCCCTACGGCTATCAATATGACGACAGCAAAGCATGTTTGTGCAAGTGTCAATATCCATGCAAGGTAAGCACGGTATGCTTAACTGTTGAACGTACCTGTTAGATATTTGAATATGCATTGGTTCATTCTATGAAACACAGCAGAATATAGACTAGTTTATTAATTAGTAGCTTATTATTTCTGACCCCATGCAATCATTTTGGCGTGAACGATGCGCAGTTTTATTCGCAGTTGCTCATGTCACTCATCTAGGACCTTCCCAGCCTTTCTTCTCCGGCTTCATTCTAAGATTACGGACATGATCCTGTTATTTTTTCTCAGTACATAGAAGATTTTCTCATGACACTTCCAAAATGTTTCAAGTCAGTATGTTTTAAAAAAAACAGCGCTAAGATACGATGTGTAACATAATCCTTTGTTAATTCGGCTGCTCTTAGATGAACTTGGCAATTGTCGTTTATAACATGATATTCACAATAATAGAATAGATATGCGTGCTGCCCACCTTATAATAAAATGCTGGCTGCAGGCCCTACGAAAAATTGGACGTTTTTCATTCTGATGACTATCCGAATGTTGAAGCATTGGTATATTCTTATTAATATTTTCCTATGCTTTTTGTGCATCGTAGCCGTTAAGAGATTTTGTTGCTACAAAATAAAACGAAGGTTCCAGGAAAAGATTTCGTGCGGGGAGCAACAATTCCATGGTACCTCTTGTATCTGTGGTCGACTCTTCTGTAGCCCTTTTTTGGTACTGATTATTACACCAGTTTTCAGTTATCAGGAGACTGAAGGTGAATTTTGGTCATAAAGAAAGTTTTGCATTAGAAAGCATAGTCATACCGTTCATTTCTGTTGGCATATCCCAATTACTACACCGTATATCGTATCGTCCCTGTTGTACGCAGTTCAACGACTTTATATATGTTTGTCAACTGATTGCCTTCAAGCAACGTGAGGAAAATCCTTTGTTGTAGGGATGAGGCGAATTTTTTTCTTTTAAGAGCCTGTAATGCCGTTCCTCCTGAAGTTGACGCCACCCTTTCTCCAAGTACTTCAGCGCCTTAGCAAATTTATCAGATTCGTTAGATGAAAATCGAAGAATAAAATCTGTTGACTCTCTTACAGTCACAAAATTTCTGGCGTAGTATTTTGCTAATGTTCAATGTACTCAACGCACTTGCGCTGTAAATGACAGAGAAGAACGTGGGCGTAGGAATGGACAAGGGCTACCTTTGTGATGACCTCTTATGACAAAAAC